ATCATAACCGCCAGCTACAACACCTACTGACCTCTAAATATATTCATCTGAACAATAAGCTCTTTATATACAAAAATGCTATTTAAACTGATATAGGTCTATGGTGTACAGATCTGGGGATCAGCAAAACCTACTAACATACTAACATCAATAGAATACAAACCTATCAATCCAAAACTCTAAGACAAATCATTAAAGCACCATATTACGTTTCCAATCATACACTCCGTCATCATGACCTTTCCATACCCTTTGTTGCAGACGAGACATAACTAAAGCACACTACAAGTTAGGTATATCATAATTGCCTTTAAACCTCCCACTCATGCACAATACCTCTTACTTGACTATCCCTGGAAATCCTCCTAACAACTTAAGTGCAAATGGTGCAGAAACCTACTAACAGACTAATATTCAATTTTAATACTCATGTTTTTTATCATAGTACCTCCACAGGAAGGCTTCTACACTAAGTTTAATTTGTCATCTTTACCTATTTATTTATTATTTTTTTTTTTTTTAGTATTATTACTTCCTCAGTTGTTATTATTATTTTTTGTAACAGATTGAATAAAAGAATTTTAAAAAAAATTGCTTATATAATCACATTTACTTATTGTAGGTACACAAGCTACACATTTTAAATATAATTTAAATAATTTAGTAGGTAGATGCATTTCATATAGATTTTACTTTATGAAAATTACACAATGATACACTGTATACATAAGTATGCTGGAAAATGTTAAACATAACAAGTTTTGAGTCTACGACTTATGATAAATGTTTCAGGGTTAACATGTACAGAGGGCACAAGGTGATCGACTAGAAGTCATACTATTCAGATAAAAAGCATGTATTATTAGTACTTGCCAACAAAAACTATTAACTTAATCATCTCAAATGCTTACACAGGACATTTACCGTATACACATTGTATATTATATAAATGTTATTCTCAAAAATATGAAATATATGAAATTGAGTAAAGACTAAAGAGATCAAGTACCTACCTACCATCAGAACTTGAGAACTCATTATAGAATAATATACGTTTTAAACACGATTTCAGTCACAAAGGCACAAAAAACTAAAATTCGAAATACATTTTTAATCAATCAGTGGAGACTGGAGAATCATTGACCATTATTATCTTTGATGGTTATCGTKAAGGTAAAATTTTTGAAAAGAGGGGGGTTAAAGATTCCCAATCCCAACATTAATTTAAGCAATTTAACCTCCGGCGAATATTTTATACTCGTTCTTTTATCCGTTTGCTCTACCAAGTACCTACCTAAAATAGGTTAGGTTTATTTGCTATAATGATCTACCGATATAATGGAGTCAGTTGTAACGACTGATTATCTCAATCCATAGACGATAAAACGAATTAAATTTGCTTACCTCCATATTTAAAAGCGTTGCTGAGATCGACCGCGTGACTATAATAACAACTGCGATGGGACGACGACGATCAATATAATAAAAAAATATAAGCAAACTTAACAGTAAATTGCGAGTAATGAGCAGTACTGACTAATGACTAGCACCGTCAACTAAGTAACAAGTCAGAGTGACGACTGACGACCATTGACCGTTGAACGTTGAACCGTTCCAAATGTTGGAATGGAAAAGAGTTAAATTCCCGTGTGGCAGTACAACACGTTCAGCAGCTGATACGATGCTATGCGGTCTATAAAGACGACGTGGAACGTGTGTACGATATTGTTCTGTGGTACGATATAACAACTATACATATATATATATAGTCGGTGTGTTGTGTGTAATGTGTACTGCACGGAGCCACAGACTACCTACCACTAGTACTACTATATACTATATAGACATAATATTATAGTACCATCGTTTGGGTCAAACATCTACCTCCGCCTCATTTTGAATCTTTGCTACTCTTAGTCACGACTAAAGATAATCATACTCTTGGTATAGATACGAATAGAGGACGATTTAAGTTATATATAACTATTATTATAGTATAGATAGAAAAAAGATACTATCGTGATGAAGAGATGTTGTTCGTACCATCGGCGTATTTAACATATTTTCTAGAGGACAAAATAAATATCGAAAATCACATACACAAACATAGTTGGCTTAGCTGTACTGCCTGTTCTATGACAGCATGAACCCCTCCTCCGGTATGTAAATTATAAATATAATATATGACAACAACTCACCCACCAAACTTTTAGTMAAATAATTTTTTTCCAAATTAACAAAAAAAATTTATAATTTAACTATCATTCTAAACTCTTATATTGTTATAACTTATATTATTTATCATACAGCAAAATAAAAATGGCTTGGGGGTAGATCTATCTACGTCATCTGACCTCGAATAAACGCCACTGCATTGTAACATAATATTGTATCTATATGTTCTTTCCTCTACTCTATTAACTTACAAGTTACAACTCAAAATTTTTCCGCCATAACTTTTCTTCTTTTACAGTTTCGCCTTCGTTTTGGATAAACCCTTCACACTTGTATACAAACATTCCCTAATAAATGATTTAAACCTTTGTACTAACTACCTTAGGGCAGATGGAAAAAAAAAATTTTATAATTTGCTGTTTTATGAAATGTTCATTATCAATAATTTATTTAGTTTACTAGGTTGGTAAGGTATATCGTATATCCTTTGATCAGATGTATAAACTCGTATTTATATCATGTAGGTAATTAATAAATATTAGGCAATAAATAATATCCCTGGATAAAATAATAATAAAAAAAGGCGGGTAAGTCGTGGATGTCGCTCTGCTGTACAGTAGGTTACAAGTGGGTTACTGTAATGGATG